AAGGCAGACCCCACCACTTCACACTAGCGTAGCCAACACAGCACAGTTCGTGTGTAGGTATGGGCAGCAGCAAAGTAACTGCATCAGTCACTGAATGAAGTTCAGCATTCATTCATTTTTAAAGGGAAATTATCTACTTAGGGGCTATAAAGAAGCCAAAAATACTTGTTAGCTTACAGCAAATGACAGCAAGGAGTTCCTATGGGGTGGGGCTCTGCATCAGGAACATTCCTCTCAATGCAAAGATTACTTGTCATGGTCTGAACAAGTGAATTTAAATTTAGGCTTTACAGTGTCTCTAAATGTGCTGAGCAGTTCTAAGTTCTAAGCAGTCTCGCTGGCCAGTATACAAAAGATAGGCTGATAAAGCCTGCGGTGCCATGTTGGGACCAACATATCTCCACAACACTCCCAGTAGCAGTACAGGCCTGTCACTTTGTGGTGAACCCCCTTTTGGTTGCATTTGCTGTGTATTTCCTCTTGCTTTCATCTAAGCTCATTGATGCTTGTTTTCATGTACTTTTCTGGCACCTATTTACTGGACCTTAACCTTGAACTGAGCTGTAAAAACACTGATATAGGTAATTCCAATCCACAGTTTTGCAAGGGGCAGCTGGCATTTTAGGGATGGTTTGGCTTCAGTAGCTGGTCAAAACTTTGTCTTTTCATCTTGTCTCCAAACATTTTCTATGCTTTTTATAACTGATAAATCCATATATGATTTAATTTTTACATACCTTTCGTCAATACTGAACATACTGAATAGACTGATCAAATAATTGGTCAGCATACATTTTGTCTTCCGATGCTTTGGAGCATCGAAGGTTGCTGCAGCATGACAGGCTTCAAGTTCTGTGCTCCAGCATCTGATCCAGGTCAGATGAGCAATTATGAGCAGGTAAAAAGTCTCTTATATTTCAAAAGATGCTTTTTGACTGTGTTGTAACTAATTTTGAAACAGTATTGTACAATAAATAGTTTTACTACTTTTTTTTTTACTATTCAGTGAGGTTGAATATGTGTGTGGCGCCCTATGAACCTCTAGGGAGCATGAGGAAGCGAAGCAAAGCATAATAATTATCGACAATAGTAAAGATTTCCTTGGCACTATGAGACGAAACCAGTAAAAGATCAGACACTTTAGTTCAAAGTCAAGCCATTCAGCAAAGCCTCAGTGAGAGCTTTACCCTGGCAGCTTTTTGAAAGTAGCTCAAGATCGCTCTCTAGAGGTGAAAAATAAAGATTTCATTTCTTAAGACTGCAATCAAACCGAACAATAATTAGTTAGAAAGCACACACAGACACATGGTAAGACAGCCAAGGATCTTAATGAGCCTATACAGGACAAAAGCTAAAAGCTCTGATTTTTTTTATAAGAGTGATACTGAGGCCAGTAAACAGCAAGCAGCCTTACAACACTGCACTCTCACTCTTGCTGTAACTCTTTAAAGTGCAGTACTGTCAAAGAACATTGGCAATAGCGTTGTCTTCTTCAAGACAGAGTGATGCTTGTTTCCTTCCAACAAGTTAATTTGTGGTTCATTTCCTGTAAGTTCACTGGAATTCTCTCCTGCTCTGTCTCCAGCTGTGGCAACGCTCCCCCATACCATTTCCTGCCCATCAATGAGTCACCAGCTCTTTTCTGCATCTGTTTAACTGTTCCTTCTATGAGCTCCTGGTTACCACATTGCCTCTTCTTCTGCCCAGCTCTCTGCTCCTTCTCCCAAGTCCTGGTGAGCCTGGAACTTACTGCAGGTATTGCTTTCTCATGCAATTTCATTACTAAGTTTTATTTGTCAGTTTTCAAATGGTATCCACCAGCATTTCAAGATCTAATTTACTATAATAATAGCACATTGCTATTTTAGATACTTTTGCTGTGCAGTAGCTGTCTCGCTTCTCAGATTTTGACTACAGACATGTAACAATCCAGTTATGCCTGTTTTTCCTATTAGAACATAAATCATCTGTTGTTACTTATAATAAAAATAAAATTCCCATATGCCTCACATTCCAGAGCAGACTACGTTCTTCATTTCTTCCACAAATGACTTCTATCTCAATCACCTGGCATGCTTCTCAGAAGCAGAATGAAAATTTTCCACTTCTACACAGTTTAAACCCTGTTCCATTTGCCAGAAGTCTTTTAAGTACCACAGAAATATAATGAACTGTAAAAAGAGAAGGTCTCGGTTCTAGTCTGCCTCTATAAACCAAATCTAACACAGACTCACTCCCACCCCCTGTATCCAAAGTATCCTAGTGATGTCAGACATCTGCTATTCCATGGCTGGTCACTAACATTTAATATTCTATAATCTCTCCTTCCTTGTGAACAACAATTGAGTTTGTTCAGCCACAGAAATCTCCATTCTAGATGCATCACTGAATGGAAACACACTGCAGGTATTTCTCTGTAGCCCACAGAGAAGACCACAGTGGAGCAGGTGGTGTCTTGCAGCCCATGGAGAAGGGTCCATGCCAGAGCAGATAGCCACATTAGAGGACTCCACATGAGACTAGGTGGACATGCTCTGAAAGAATTGTGGCCCATAAAGGACCAATGCTAGACAAGGTTTATCCAGAAAGACTGCAGCCTGTGGAAGGAGACATGCTGGAGCAGGGGAAAAGCATGAGGAAGAAGGTGAGGCAGAGAGGGACTGTTATGAACTGACCATAATCCCCCCCCAATTCCTCATCCCTCTGTGCTGCTGGGCAGAGGGAAGAAGGCTGGGAATAAAGGAGTGAAGTTGAGCCTCGGAAAAAACAAAGGGGATAAGGTGTTTTACTTTTTCTGCTTCTCGCTGTCCAAATCTATTTTAATAGGCAATAAACTAAATCTTCCCCTCTCAAGTCTGTTTTGCCTGTGACAGTAATTAGTAAGCTCACTCTCTGTTTCTATCTCAACACATGAGCTTTTTCACCTTGTTTTCTCCATGAGCCCATTGAATAGGGGGAGTGAAAGAGCAGCTGGGTGGGTATCTAGCAGCCAGTCACCACCACCTCTAGTAAGAATTTCCCATACTCAAACTTGTGTCCTCTGCCACTCATTACCTAACTCATAACTCTGAGTTCTCGTAACTCTGAGAACTGCTCAGGCAGTTGTCAACACCAGTAACCTCTGTCCTTCCTTTGCTTTCTGTCTCTTCTCCAGTGTGAAGAGAAACAATTCTCCCAGCACATCATGGTGACACGTGCTCCAGCCCCCTGAGAAACTTCAGTAGCCTCCATTGGACTTTCTCCATTGTGGTACTCCATTTCTGGCACTAGAGTCCAGATGCAACCTCACACGTGCAAAATACTGGGGAAGGATGGCTACCCTCTTACTAACAACATCCCAGGAGATGGCTGGCCTTTGCCACAAGTGCAACTTGTATTCCACAAGCAGGCCCAGGTATTTTTCTGCAGAGCTGCTTCCTGGCCAGTCAGTCTCCAGCCTGTACTGGTACATAAGGGTTATTCCTCTCCAAGGGTTGGACTTTGCAATTCTCTTTGCTGAAGTTCATGAGGTGCTTGTCAGCCCATCTCTCCAGCATCTCCACACCCCTCTGAGCAGCAAACCTGTCTTTCAGCATATTGACTGCTTCCCTCACCTTGGCTGCTGTTGTCATTCTACTGTCCAGCTGCCTCTTGCTTCCATTCACTTGAGAAGAATCCAGTGCTGACTGAGCAGGCACTAGGTACCTTGTATAGGGCAAGTACACAGCACAGCAGTTCGTACAGCGCTTACTGGAATCCTAAGTCTTTATACTGCACTGGGTTGTCGGAAGGCTTTGAAAATAAAATAGAACTAAAATGAAGAAGAGAGAAAACAGTTTAGCCTGATTCCTTCTGTGATCAGGGAAGCAGAAGTAAATGCGTCCAGTGTACCAAAAAAACCACTTTACGTCTAAGCAGTTTATCTGTTAGTGGGCTCAGAGCCAAGATGATTGCCTTTGTACACAGCAGTAATGCAAGGCAGGGGAAAGGGCAGAGCTGGGTGATAAATGGGAAAACCCCTTCCATTTGCTCACACACTTTAACCACCTGGTCGGGACAGTAAGCAGCTGTTATCTTCTGTAAGGAACAAAGAGAGCATGGTAGTGTGAGCACAACTAAACACTGGATCTCACTCTTTCCTCTTTCACCTATTAAAAAATAGTAAGAAAAGCAAATATAATTTTACACAAATATTTTTATAAATGTCAAACCCCATTTCATTATCAGCAGCCAGATGCAACTCTTGCATTCGAAAGCTAGCCTTCTCTTTAATAATTAGAGACCTCAATGTCACCTTATCAAAACCAGCAGGTTCCTCAGAAGTGCTTCTGGTTCACATTGAAGAGATTCTATAGCTGAAAGCTCTATACTGCTCAGATTCACAAATTAGAAAGTAATCCAGTGGTTACAGTACTTCAAATACTAATTTTGACAAATCAGTGCTTCTCCAGTCTCAGTCTTGATTCAAGTCAGTTTTAAAAGGTTCTGCAGTTTTTACCACACATTTAGCAACTAGAATGTGTAGAATATTTGTAGTATCTGTGGTAACAGCTACTGAAATAAAAAACCACTCTTTATACACATTAAATGGAAGCTGTCTTATTTTCTGTATAGTAGAAAGGATGCTACCAAAAGAAAAAAATGCAAACATTTAACAGTACAGTATTCAAAGCCATAAAGTAGTCCTACGCTGCAACTGACTGAAAAGAAAGAATTACCAAGAAATCCCAGATCAGCCTAGCTTGTTAGCAACCAAGGTTACTCATGTTCCCAATAACTGTCTCATACGTTTTCTCTAGAATCACAAAGATATAACCAAGAAAAGCACACACAGATAAGTTTGGTGACCAAACAACATACTTCAGCATTTCTGCACAAAGCATCTCTTAAAAGTGTTCATGCTGAAGTCAACTGCATTTCTGTATCACCGCATGCAGGATGCAGCATTGGTTTTAAGACTTAATTAATACACTGGTTCGGTTTAGACACAGGTATCTGCAGTTACATGTGGTACAAGAAAGTGACACATTTGCACAGGTATATTTATTTTTTCCTGTGTTTACAGTGCTTCAATTGTAATTTTAAACCATTCAGAAAGCACAATTTCATACCAATTTTACATACTTTACATCACAGCTCAATAACGTTAACACAATTGTATCTACTAAATCAAATAAACAAAATGGCCATGAACATTTACACTATTCTTCTGTAAACAAGTTTTTTTATAAACAATGATAAATGGAATTAACACAGACCACCATATGAAAGAGGAATGAGCTTTTTCTTAAATAAATCACTCTGTTTATAAATACTTCAGTTCTCTCAATATACATTTACAGACATAATTGGTTAAGAGCAGATTACCTACACTGTTCTTCAAAAAGAGAATGTCTAGAGATGGACCACTGTGTGTTAAATTCACCTAACATAAGAAGCAAGCATATGATTAGTAGAGTGTTAAAAGTATTACTGTACTTCGACCTCACTTCTGTATGTTTACACCAACACTGAGGAGATTGTCATGTTAGGGAGCTTTTACTTGAATTCCAGCAAATTACAATCGATCTTGTAGTACACATATGGGTAGTACTCCTGCTGACTGAGGTTTAAGCCTGGAATATCCATAGTTGCCTGCAAATAAAGTTTTGAAACCAGTTATACTCTTACAATTCAGCCTCCTATTCAGAAATAGATTAAACATTCATATGCCTTAGAAGCAAACAAGCCAGGTAAGATTTCAAGCTTAAATTTTCACATTCAAGTGATTGTTTAAGCAACAGAAAGTTAGAACTCTGACAAATTAGTTAACAGTATTTTTCAAAATCTAAGTAGTTTCATATCAATAATTCAAATCTGTCACTATAGTAAACACATCAGCACTAAATGGAAGGTAAAATACTGCAATTATGTTTCACTGCTTCTAAACACACAGTTTATGAAAAGAACGTTATAGAGTGCCGAATGGT